CTGAAGTCCAGAGCAAAGCAGTGGCAGACCCCTCAATCCTGACTGATTTCCATACCCAAGTGCCCCAGGCGTTTCACTGTGGCAGTCTTGTATTCTTCCACTTGGAGCAACCATCCCATCTCCCCTAGACTTCCCTTGGAGACAGTGGCCCATGATGCTGAATCACATGTAGGTCAAATGCAATTTGTGATCAGCTTCATTGCCACACAATTCTCAAAGATTTCAAAACTGCCCGAGCCCTTCAGGGGAAATTTCTTTTCCATATTTAGTGAAAAAGTAGGTTTGACTTTCCAGAAACCAAGGGGCCTGTGATGGGAGCATGTGACCAAGAGCTGGGCCAGCAGGCCAGAGGTCCATGCAGCTAGAGAGGTCTGTGGGGACAGGAGGTCCTGTATGAAAGTCTTAGGACCCAGGCAGAGGGCTCACAAGGAGCAGAAACCAAATAGGAAGGATGGGAGGAGATCAGTGGGCCCGAGTAGGACACCTCATTGTATTTAATGTTTCGGGCTGGACACAAGTTGGGGAGCCAGTATAACTTATGCCGAGAGGTTCTTACTATGTGCAAGTTGCTTGCCTGTTTCATGATAAATTGTTGCTAATGCTGGGTTTCATTTATTCAGAACCCTGAATTTAAAATGTTTCACATAAACTCGTTCCTAGGTAAGACCCTGTCAATGTCACCCCCTGGCCCTGCCTAAAGACAGGGCTCTGGTCCTGAGCAGACAAAACCAACTAGCAAATTTGGGCACTTCCCTCAGAGACCTGCACTGTTACAGATGGTAACAGCAGCCTTTCTGACACATGGAGCCCTCTGCTCAGCTCAGGCTGATGTCACTGCATTCTGTATGCTGTATCATTGCCCCCCTGCACCCTGTTGCCAAGGGCCTGGGAGTGGGTCACTGACCTCCACTGTTGCATGAGTATGTGGCAGGTGACCAAGATAGCACACCGTGTCTCCAGGAGGAGCTCTTGGTACTGCTGGGAACCTTCCAGGCTTTGAAGCCTCTCTGTCCACAGGCTGTAGGCAGTCAAAAAGCTTTAAATGGCCAGTGAGCTACTAGAGCTCCAGACTGGGTCTGAAAAATCCAAATCTCTAGGGCTAATGATGATGAAGTGGATTTCAGCAAGGGGCCAGAAGGAGTGGGCTGAGAGGAAAACAATGCTGTCCTACCTGATAGGGCTTTGGGAGGCTCCACATTTGCCCAATACTTAGCATCTGATCACAATCTCCATAAGGCTTAACAGTCATCTCCTCAAAGGAAGAGGCATCAATTTCTAGATCTGTAATATGATCACAGGCACTCCCCTGCTAACAGCCTGTCCTGTTTCTTTCTACCCCAGCATTTTTCCAATGCAAAATTTCCACCCTTACTTGCACAGTAAGATCTGAATCCCCCAAGTGAGGAAGTAGATGCATGGAACTATCCCTCAGCAACCAGATTGGGTTGGATACCTTATTTCTTGACTTGTAAAAATTAAAATGCTGTTCTTACTGCTGTCCAAACCATTCTGCTTCTGTACTCTCAGACCTAGAAGCCCAGAGCCAGTCCAGGTTCTTAGTACCTTCTCTGATTGCTTTTCAGGGGCTGGATTCTCCCTACACAAATGGAGGCTATGGCACCCATTACCCCTCAGCTCCTGCACACTATCCCAGTTTGGCACAATCAAACACTTACTACTCCTCTGGGCCCCCACAGCCCCCTTACCCTGCAGAATCTCCAGGCATGTACAGGTCTCCATCACCAGCTTCTCACTGGAACTACCCCACAGCAGACTGCACAGCAGAAAGCTCCTCTCTCAGGAGGCACGTCCCGGGGTATTCCCCACCACAGGTAAGGAAGCCAGGACACAGACAACAATGGGTGCTTCCTCTGGAAGCCTACCTGGGGTGGGCAATGCTCACAGCCAGGTACTTGGTGGTGCTGAGTACAGCCCTCCTCAACCAAAGCCTGGCAAGTGCACTGCAAAGTGCAGCTTGCCTCTCCAGCTACCAGCTGCTAATCCCTGAGCTCAAGAAACAGACTCCACAGTTCCTGCTTCTCACTATTGTCAGGTACCAGTTGAGGATTGGGGTTACCAGATTGGAGGACCAGAGCATTAGAACCAGTACTGGGGAGCCAAAGTCAATGTTAGGGTTAGCAAGCAGAGTCCAAGAGCAGGCTGGGGCAGGAGCAAAAGTCCAGGATTAGCAAAAGCTGTTCCTCTCCCCTGAAGCAGAGAAAGTAGTTGGCCAGTCAACCGGGTATCGGGGAGGGTGATAAAGGACTTATGCAGGTCCTATCCATCCACTTGTAGCTGCTGCTTTGGAGAGACCAAAGTCCTACATTCAGGGCTGCAGTCCTGACAGGCATTTCCATCCAATAGAAGGTCGAAGGCGCTTTGTCTCTGGCGAACTATCCAGCAGTCACCTGTTTGTACCAGGCTGGCTTAGACAACAACTCCACTGCATGAATGTCCCGAGGAGCCCTCCCTGTCTGAAATGTGTAACACCTTCTTTTTGTAGAGCTAGGGTAGAAGGGCTGACCCAGCAGAGCCAGGATAGCCAATCCAACCATGCTGTTCCTAACAAGGAGCACCTTGGTATGGATTACTGCTGGCTGAGTGGATGTGATTTCAGAGGTAGTGTCTGTTCTCCTCCCTGCAGACGCCAGGCATGGCTGTCCCACACTACTCATATGGCGATGCTAGTCCGGGGATTCCACCACAGGGCCCCCCGTCACAGCCAAGACCCCAGGAGGAGTTGTGGGGTCCCTCAGGAGTCTATGGGATGCAGCCACGTTATGGCTGGTCAGCTGCTTCAACAACACATGGGAACCCGTACGTCTCTGAGTCGCATCCATCCTGGCCGGGCAACAGAGTTCCTGCTCCACACCCTCCAGTTCATGAGACAAAGGTAAAGGTTGATGCTCTCAAGGCTATGGAGCCTACTAGTGTTGGTCCTAGATCTGTCACACAAGTAACAATGCAAGCATTCCCTTCACAGAGTCAAGGCATGCCACTTCTCCAATGCCTCCAGTTCCCACCTGTGCCAGACAAAGAGGATCACACTTGGGAATAAAGCACTTTTGGCCCTTACATCTTGCTTTAAACTACAGACACTGCATGTGGGATTTGTTGTGACCTGCCACAGGGGCAGCCTGACAAAGCCAGGATATATCCTCTAGTTCCAGATTTGCAGTCAGAGCACTAGACTATGCTATCTCTTTGAAACACTGGTGTTTCATTTCTTTGAAATGCCTCTATCTTTTAAAGGAAATGGTTTGTAGTAGGGAGCAAAGAGGTAATGCAATCTAGGAACTCTTGAAAGTATTTCCCTCTGGATACATAACTTGGGTATCCTTTATAGTTATCGAGAGTTCCACTTTAATGCTGGAAATTAAGGGTATTGAAGCTGATATCAGATGTCAGAGATTGAGTCTTAGAACAGTATCTAGCAAGGATTTAGGATCAAATCTTCCAGGGCTATGGATTATCTCACATGTCTCTTGTACAGGGGGTTCTTGCACTATCTCTGAAGCATCTGATTCTGGGAAGTAGGGAAGATGCAGCTGATCTGTTCCTGTCTGGATGCTTCTGTGTTCCCTCCCAAGCACATTTCTAGGCACCAGTATGCTCTAGTAGAGACTTTGCTAAAAATACAGTGCTGGGGAAATAACTCCTGGACTGTGCACTCACTCTGTTCATTACTCCACTCCCAGTCTGGCCAACCATGAGAGGCCTTGAAACCAGCCCCACAAAAGCTGTGGTAGTGCTGGCAAGGCCTGCCAGCAGGGTCCTGAGGTAGAGTTCTAATTGCTAGGACTCAGATTTCTTTTTTGTTATCTAATATCCATTATAAAATTGCCCTGTACCCTACCTGAGATGCAAATGCATCGGCACTGACCAGAGGAATGGTACTAGAATCCTTTCTCACACACTGTCTTCAAAGATCTGTGGCAAGTGTGATCCTGACCTAGCCATACTGCAAAATGTTTCAAAGCTTTTTCACTATCGTCCTATAGTTGCAGCCTTCTGCGAACTGCTTGAGGTTTTTCTGGCTAGAGTTTAGTTCTTAGGTAGGCGCAAGGTTTGAGCACCGGCTTACTGCCCAAGCATTCCTTTCTGGAGGTGCATCTGGGCAGCAGCACTCATGTAAGGCCACCTGCGTGTCAGTTACTAGGACATGGCATATTATGATGTCATGGTGCGTGACAGTCTCAAACTGCAACCCTCGTCCCAGGTAACTTCCCTGCCTGAACCTTTTTTGCCCTGCCACCTTAGGCATGCACACCTTCTTTCAGCAGCCTGGGCCTCCCAGCTCCTGTTGGGATGCTTGCATGCCCTCCTAGATGTAGAACATGGGATACACGCTAATGTCAAGGGGACCAAACTAAAAACACCTCTGTTTCTGATTTAGGATGCTTATGACAAACCAGAGCAAGGAACAAACCAGCACAGCTACTTTGCAGAAGCCAATCACCAGCACTCTGGGACAATGAGTGATCACAAGCCAACCCCCTTCCACCCCAAACCACCCTCTCCAAACCCCAAGGTGCAATATAGTGCACAGCCCCAAATGTATGACAATGTACCTAGGAAAGCTGCTGTGACCCAGGATGCAGGCTTTAAAGCAAGTGACCAGCCTTCTTCAAACTGCCTGAGTGTTCAGCCAGGGATTCAGCGCATTATGCGAGTTATGGAGGAGGTTGAGCAGTTGGAGCAAGAGGTGGATGAATTTGTAGGCAGAAAGACAGACAAAGCTTTCCGGCTGCTGGAGGAGTTGCTGACCAAGGAGCTGCTGGAACTGGATTCCATCGAGACGGGTGGCCAGGACAATGTTCGACAAGCCAGGAAAGAGGCTGTTCACAGAATCCAGGCCATCCTGGAAAAACTGGAAAGAAAGGGATTGTGAAGTGAACAACGTGGGGCTTCCTTTTGATGGCCCAGAGAATTCTGGTTTTGTTCACCTGTCTGTCCTTCCTCCTGACTACTGTTGATAATAAAAAGCAATAAATTCTGACTTTTTTTTTTTTTTTAAGAGGCCAACAAATGACAATTTGGCTGTGGGCGAATGAAGAGAGGATTGACTCATCAGTTCTGAATTCAGTCCGTTGTTCCAGACCAATGAATGTACAGAGGGCTCTGGAATCCTGACACTGCCAAATGAAGTGCTTTTGTTGTGCCAGGCTCTGGGGTGTTTGCACACTTCTTAGCAGCAGGACAGAAACCCCTTGTGTGGAACAGATTTCTCTACACCAGGCCAAATCTTTAGAGACTACTTGGAGCTACAGTGACTTTTCCAACTACTAGAATACTTATCAAGTTTTACGTTACCAAGGCATTGCAGCGCACAGCAAGGAGAACAAGACATGAGGTTTGCAGACCACTATATTTATGTGTATTTTCTGCTTCTTAACCTTAGCCATACTGGTTGTGTATTCTTCTTCTGTGTCTTTGGTGCACTCTGTCATTATGTTGAAGCACTGGTGGAAGAGATCATACAGACAGCCAGCTTAATATGGTGACTAAAGTGAATGTTACTTCACACTGCTTCACTCTGGTGTCTAATATGGAGGAAAATGATAAGGAACACATTTGGGAGCTTTTGAACAGTGCAGAGGAAAGATTTGAATGTCATCATGGAACAGTTATAAGTGAGGCATTTGGACAAGATTTTTCAGGGCATTTGGGTATAAAAATCCACTTTCTAACTGTAGTGTCCTTTCACATACTGCACTCTTGTTTTTCACTATGATTTGCCTACTTGGTGATTCTGTACAATGCACTGTGGAGGGGAGATGTCAAATAGCTACCATCCACCCTTGGAATACAGTTCATGAAAAGAGTCATTTCTGTGTATGATGAGGTAATAAACCCTGGCAAGTTTTAAAAAATACTTGTAATTTGCATCTTTGAAGTGATTTTTTTTGTTTAAAGTTAAACCTTACATGAAACTTCTTAAGTGGAACCTTTTGGTGACCCAAATGCCATTCATGAATTGTCCCTGCAGCAGATGCTCATTAGTGAATCTGGCAAACAGCATGGAAGTTTTTACATGGATGACAGTGAAAGATGCTACTTGGAACTGTTTAGGGCAGAATCGTGTTGAATTGCTAGGTACCTGTAGTTTTTGCCTTCTTCTGGAGCAGTGGCTAATGAGATCCTAGCTAGCCCAAACTAGCAGATGAAAAACTGGACCTGATTTCACAGTCACAGCTCTCCAGTAGGTTCCAGTAAACATCCTGCAGTGTACGCTGATTTGCTGAGGGAAGAGATGGTTCCAATTAGTGACTGTACTTTAGAAATAGTGGTACAACAATCATGAATGTTGGCTTTCTTAGCTCTGCTAAAACAAAGGCCTATGCTACCAGTGCTCCCGGAGTTCTGTTTCCTAACCATTTTCTCCCGACTTTCCTGCCAGGATATAATGTATAAAGGAGTCTGCCAAATAACTCGGATTGCTGTCACATGGCTGCATTTCCCCACCCTGGTGAACCTAAGAGAAAATTGTTTGTTCTGGGCATTCATGTCTCACTTGTTGCCCAATTAAATTATTTTAGTATTCGGAATGACAAACCCTCAGTGCAATAACTACTGCATTCTTTCCAACTGAATCTATAGCTTAGAAGCAGTCCATTCTGGGCATAGTCCGGGTGTTAATCTAAGATATGGGGGGTGTTGGTTATAGCCATGTTGGTCTAAGGCAGGGGCGGGCAATTATTTCGGGCAGAGGGCTGCTTAGTGAGTTTTGACAAGCTATTGAGGGCTGCATGACAGGCAGCCAGGGGTAGATAAATATTAATTTTATAAATTTTTTAGGGGCCCTGCAGGCCAAATAAAATGGCCTGGAGGGCTGCGTCCAGCCAGTGGGCTGCATTTTGCCCACCCTGATCTAAGGACATAGGCAGACAACATTTACCCAGATAACCTTGTCAATCTAAGATATAGTAACTCCTTTTTTTGGAAAGGAAGATAACAGTCAGCACACATCTCAGGAACGGAAAGGTTCCTGAGCCAGGATGAAGGCATCTAGACAAACTGCCTATTAAAGAACAGTCCAGTTGCTGAAGCTTTACAAAATTATTGCAAGGTGCTAGTGAGCATCACATTTATGAGCTTCTTTAGTGATGTACGTTGCTAGTCCTCGTGCAAAGGAATCCATTGTCTCCTCCCTAGGAGGAGGATGGTTACAGCAGGCTCATGAGTTGTATAAAAGCAAGTGTACATCAGTGTCTGAAAAGCAGCCCCCTCTCTCCTCTCTACCATGCAAAGGAGAGCTTCCAAAACTATGATCAAATATCAACTCCAACCACCACTCCCAAGAAATGGACAGAGAGCAAAGAGCACGCCACCTCTTTGCAGCTGATCAAACTTCAGGACAACACCATTACACTTAAAACTGCACTGGAATTCTCCCTAACATATGATCCGTGCTGGGCATCTTGCACCCTTCTCACTTGGTGAATGTTACTGAGTCTGAACAAGTTACGCAGAGCAGGAGCATATGTGCTGTGAATCCCCCTCCCCCATCTAGCATATGTTAACACCCACTTTAGTGCCTCCCAACAAAGCTGATGCATGCAACACAACAGCAGTACTGAAGAGAATTAAAAAAAGATTTTTCAAAATAAAAGTTCCCACTGAATGTAAGATTACTCACATCCCTTAGTCATGCAACACAGTGACTAACACCTGTGTTTTACCACGTTACTCAGATGCAGAGGAGATATGTTCCTTTAAAGCGTGACTCTCCAAGTAGACAAAGTTCATGGCAGATCTAAGAATAGAAATCTAAGAATCTGGACGCCCAGTCCTGGGTTCTGACTCGCAAGAGTTTAATGAAACTAGTTGGGAAGAGAAAGCAGGCCCCTTGTTTTGACGATGCACCTTGCAAAAGGTCTAACTTAGGCAAAGCTGGAAAAAGCTAGCAGGAGGAAGGTGCTTAGTGCTAGTGACCATTTTGGAAACTATTGTTCATGCAGTGATGCTATATGATGATGAGATGTGGCTTAAGAATAGACGTGTCCAGGAGTCAAAGACTGAAATTGCAAGAGATTTTCTTTTTAAGATGTATGTCTCTATTCCAAAAAAAAAAAAAAAGAAAGAAAGCAAGCCTGCTCATTAAACCGTGACTGAAACACATGGTCCCTGAACAGCCAGTTATGGGAAGGTTGTCATCTAACACAAGGATTTAACTATTTTCTCCTTGGGTGGGGAGAATACCTGCTTTGCTTTTCTGACTGATTAGAGCTTAGAACTGAAAAAACAGGAAATGCACAGAGACAGGCTCTCCTGTGTCACATGAATTTTTAATGCAGTTAATCTCATTGGAAGAGGAAGCCTTGGTGTTATTTAAGTCTGTATCCTCTGAGCGCTTAAGTCTGCATCCTCCAAGCTTCAGAAAAGCTCTAAGTATGTGCTCAAGCACCTTAATGAGTAGAGACAGGCTTAGGCACATGCTTACAATGCATGCTTAAGTCTCATTAAAGTCAGTAGCACTGAAGCTGTGATCGTCTAAAGGGAAGGCTATGGTTAATTTTTTTTAATCCAGCTTCAGTTCCTGCAATTGCAGCACAGATCTGGGCAGAGAAACTGGGATTGTCCCCCTGGAATAAACAGCAAGGTTGAGTTTTGTAAGCAACAGAAATGATTTCAGACCCTGCCTCCATAGCCGCCAGGAGCTCTCCCCTCCATGAGTCACTCGTGGGTGAAGCTTCCCCTGGGTCATGTGTGTCTTCTCTGTGCTGCTGCCTAGGACAGTGTGACATCACCGATGTGAAATATTTTGCTCAAGCTATGCAGCTGGCTAGCGAGTTGGGTTAAAATTTCTGAGACCTAGTGTAAATTAAATAAGCTCGCCTGCATACCCATACCAAGAGCTCGCCTGCATACCCACGCATCACTGCATTTCTTAGACGCTAATTGCACCCAAATTAGGTAGGGAAA